GCGGTGATCAGCGCTGTGGACCTCCTGAAGCACCTGCCCAAGGTCGAGCCGCTGGCGGTGGGCACCGTCTTCAAGCGCTACGCTCCAGGGCAGCCGCAGTGGGAGGGCCACTATGTGCTGATGGATGGGCTCTCCTGGGAGAGCCTGACCGAGTTCAAGTGGGGGCCTGGGGGCTGGGCGATCCAGAGTGGGCGGGCTACGCCAGGAAGCAGCGGAATAGGGCCAAGAGGGAGCGCCTGGCGACCGCGTACAACGAACTGGCGCTCTACGGGCGCCGCCACAACCTTCGGGGGGCAGCCTCGCGGGCGGCGGGGGTGGTGCCGGGGCCGCCCCGCGTGCCGCCCCCGTCCGCGCCGCCAGCGCCCCTCCAGCGGGCGTGGCCCGCGGCAGCCAGGGCCCGCCACCGCCGCCTGCTGGGGTCCCGCCAGCGGCCATCATGGCCCCGCCGCCGCCGCCGCCGACGGCGCCCCCTGTGGTGCTGCCGCCGCCGACGGACCCGCCGCCGCCGACGGACCCGCTCCCGCAGCAGATCCCTAATGTTGCCGCCCTGAACGTGGCCCTCGGCGAAGATCTCGAGCGCCAGATTTTCGGGCCCTCAGGGCAGGCGGGCGGCAGGGGCGACCTCGGGGGAGAAGTGCAAGCGCTGCCGTCGCAGGTCTTTGCAGCCGTCGCGCGAGAGGCAGGCCAGCCCGCCTGAATGATGAAACTCCGCAGGCCCACAGCATCGAATACCTCTAAGCCCTCGGGGGGGGCCAAGTGAGTCCGTGCTAAGATACCGAGCCTGCAACTTTCGAAGATGCCGAAACTGTAGTTCTGCTTACGCCCCAGCTTTAGCGACGCCGCCTAGCTTTCGAACGCGGGTGTGCCCGCAGTGGTGCCCCCCTTGCACCGCGGCTCCTGTTGCTTATGCCTCCGCTCTTCGCACGGTCATCTGTGCGCCTAGCCATTCTGGCTTGTCAATTGGCTTGCCATCCTGGCCTCCTCTCACGCCTACTTGCGCTCGCGGGCCTCGTTGGCGGTGCTGGGGCCGCCCCGTGCGCTGCCGCGACGCCGCTGGGCGCCTAGCCATTTTGGCTTGCCATCCTGGCCTCTTCTCGCGCCTACTCGCGCTAGTTGGCCTAGATGGCGGTACTGGGGTCGCCCCGTGTGCTGCTGTGCCGCCGCTGTCGCTTTATTTTGGGCCGTGGGGGCCAGCTGCCCTCGGATGAGCGCCCGCCGCTGCATGCGCGTCAGACCCGCCCTTTCCCCTAGAAGAGGTGCTCGCTACATGCTGGAAATGAGGCCGCCACATGGGCGCTCTCCCCAAGGCGCTTGAGCCGTGGTGATGTGGTGCACGAGACCGCCAGTAGTAGTAGTAGTAGTAGTAGTAGTAGTAGTAGTAGTAGTAGTAGCAGTAGTAGTAGTAGTAGTAGTAGTAGTCGTAGTAGTAGTAGTAGTAGTAGTGGTAGTAGTAGTAGTAGTAGTAGTCGTAGTCGTAGTCGTAGTCGTAGTCGTCGTAGCAGTAGCAGTAGCAGTGGTAGTAGTAGTGGTAGTAGTAGTAGTAGTAGTAGTAGTAGGAGTAGGAGTAGGAGTAGTAGTAGTAGTAGTAGTAGTAGTAGTAGTAGTAGTAGTAGTAGTAGTAGTAGTAGTAGTAGTAGTACTAGTAGTAGTAGTAGTAGTAGTAGTAGTAGTAGTAGTAGTAGTAGTAGTCGTCGTAGTAGTAGTAGTAGTAGTAGTAGTAGTAGTAGTACTGGTAGTAGTAGTAGTAGTAGTAGTAGTAGTAGTAGTAGTAGTAGTAGTAGTAGTATAGCAGGGCGTAGCAGACTGTAGCAGGGCCTCGCAGGGGTTCGCGGGACCGCGCAAGGCTTAGCAGTAGTCCCCGCGCATTTGTGGCCGGTACTTTGGCTGGGCCCTCAATATCAGCGTATGAAAACCTTATGGTGTATTTCACATTTCGCCTGCGGCAGGTTTTTGGGTTTTCCATTGGATTCCTATAAGCTTTCAGCAAATTCATTGAATTCCAACGTCATTTCGTTAGGAAGGCATCCTCTTGGATTCCTATTCAATTCTGATTAGATCTGCCGTGCTTTCTGATGGATTTGTTTTATTGAATTCCTAGGGGGCCTTCCTATTGGAGTTCCGATTGAATTCCAATAGGACGGCTTCCTATTGGAATGGCCGCCCGCCCGGACCCCAAACCCAAACCCAAACCCAAACCCAAGCTTCACAGTCCCTAAATCAAGTGTGATCTGAGCAGTAGTAGTAGTAGTAGTAGTAGTAGTAGTAGTAGTAGTAGTAGTAGTAGTAGTAGTAGTAGTAGTAGTAGTAGTATTCGCGGGAGGACATAGTAGTAGTAGCAGTAGCAGTAGCAATAGCAGTAGTAGTAGTAGTAGTAGTAGTAGTAGTAGTAGTAGCAGTAGTAGTAGTAGTAGTAGTAGTAGTAGTATTAGTAGTAGTAGTAGTAGTACTAGTAGTAGTACTAGTAGTAGTAGTAGTAGTACTAGTAGTAGCAGTAGTAGTA